ATAGACATCTCTATTTGATAATATCATATTCTAGGGCAACAACGACAATCAAGTCGATTGCATTATGCCGAATCATCCTGGACAAGGTGGATACAGATACCGCTGTTTTTATGGGTAACGCCTATTCTCTCCTTGGCTAATAAACGTACGCTTGTCGACGACGATCTTAATGATCTCTCTATGAAAGATCAATGTTCCATCATATTGAATAGAGTAAATCAGTATAGTTCTAAATGGCCAGGCACATGGAATGTATTCAATCGGATATTTTTTAAAGATTTTTTGTCAAGTATGTTGTTTGTTTTACCTCTTAGTACATCTCGTATTGCACAGCCATTGCTTATTCGTCAAATTATTCTCTACATTAAAGATGAATCAGGATTGCCTGCTTATTCTGGTTATCTATATTCTATTGCTCTTTGCATTGCTGTACTTTTGCAAGCCACTTGTCAACATCAAATCTTCTTTCGAAATACACGTGTAGGCATGCGAATTTCCAACGCATTCTCATCTGCCATCTATAAACATTTGTTGACCATAAATACTGCAGCTCTTAACAATACTACTGCGGCTCAGACAATTAATTTAGTGGCGAATGATGCTGAGAAATTTGCAGAATTAAGCATTTTCATGCATGGTTTATTGGCAGTACCTCTGGAAGTTTTTTCAACGTTTGGTCTTGTTTGGTGGACCATTGGTTTACCGACATTATTCGGCTATGCAGTACTGCTTCTGATAATACCGATTCAGTTCATATTCAGTAAAAAATTTGGCCGCTACAGAAAAGCCACAATGGCATGTACAGACAAACGTGTACAAACAATTAATGAACTTGTCAACGGATGTCAAATTATAAAAATGTACAATTGGGAAAAAGCCATGGAGCAACGAGTACTTGAAACACGCCAACAAGAACTTTCGAATATTCGCAAAGCGAACAACTTAAGAGCTCTCAATGTTGCTATGTCATTTATATCAATGCATTTGGTTTCTCTTGCTACATTTGGTGGTATGTGGTTAATGAGTCGAACATTGCTTCCAGAAAATATATTCTCAACATTATCCTTCTTCACAATGGTCCGACTTCCATTATCCATTACAATGCCAGGCTTGATTGAAAAACTCAGTGAAGCTCGTATTTCTGCAAGACGAATCGATCAATTTATGCAACTAGATGTATTGACGAATAAATGTGAAAAAGTGAAAAATGAAAATGAGGAGCACGCAATTATAATGGAAAATGCATCATTTTCTTGGAAAGATACTCCTTCTTTGTTTTCTCTCAATCTCAAAATTAGAAATGGTAACTTGATTGGAGTGAAAGGTAGCATCGGTGCTGGCAAATCAACACTATTAGCTGCTATTCTCGGTGAGATCAATCTTGTTAGTGGAAAATTACAAGTACATGCTCAGTCGATTTCATATGCTCCACAATCAGCATGGATATTTGCTGATACTCTTCAAGCTAATATTCTACTGGGTAAACCAATCGATGAAGAACGTTACAATAATGTAATAAAAGCATGTTGTCTTGATATTGATCTACAGAATTTTGGCGAAGTTGGTGATTTATTGATGATTGGCGACAAAGGAGTTAATTTAAGTGGAGGACAAAAAGCTCGAATATCACTTGCTCGTGCACTTTATGCTGATGCTGACCTATATTTACTCGATGATCCACTTGCTGCTGTTGATCCTAAAGTGGCCAAAAGTATTTTTGATCAATGCATCGGCCCATATAGTCTCCTTCGTGGAAAAACTAGGATATTAGTTACACACCAGACACACTTATTAGTTGAAACAGATCAAATGTTTTACTTAGACAATGGACACATAGAAGAATTACATATTGAACAACAAACGACAATCAAACCATCGAACGAAAAATCAGAAGCAGATGTATCTGACACCAAGGAAACCGATTGGAAACTTGACCCCTCCGCAGCTGATATGAATTCTATCGTAAAGAATGAGACATCGGTTAGTGGTTCCATCAAGTGGAATATTTGGCTAAAACTATTTACTGCACCTCCGTTACGTTGGTTCGGATTTTTGCTTATGATTATTTTAATGTTTGGTAATGAAGCTTTGTATGATTTTACAAATAGTTGGCTTGCTCTATGGTCGGGTAAAGATGGAAACGAACAACGATCTTCATTTTATGCTTATATCTATCTTGGAGGTGTACTTTGTACATTGATTGTTACGTTAATACGTGTCGCCTATATTATTTATATTATGTTGTGTGGTTCGACCTATTTTCATAATCAAATGCTCAAAGGTATCTTATATACATCGTTACGTTTCTTTGAAAATAATCCAAGTGGACGAATCTTGAATCGGGCAAGTAAAGATCAACAAGTAGTAGATGAATCTTTACCTCTAGCTTTAATTGAAACTATGGAATACCTACTACTAACTTTGGGTTCTATTATAATCATTGGAATGGCCAACCCATGGGTACTTCTAATTCTGATTCCATTGGCTCCCGCAGTTTTGTGGCTTCGTCGATTTTATATGCGTTCGAGTCGTCAACTCAAACGACTAGAAAGTGTAACACGTAGTCCTATTTATACATTGTTCGCAACATCATTGGATGGACTCACTAGTATTCGTGCATTTCAAGTTCAAAATGATTTTTTAGAGAAATTCATCGAAAGAATTGATGCGAATTCACGAGCTTCGTTCATTCTCTCTGCAACTTCGTACTGGTTTGGTTTACGACTTGATTTTATGACATCTTTACTCACTTTGGCTACTTGTATTCTTTCCGTAGCGTTGCGTCATCAAATCGATCGATCAACAGCAGCACTTAGTATAAGCTATTGCATTACTTTAACAGGTCTCTTTCAATGGGCTATACGACAATCAGCTGAAGCTGAAAATTTCATGACTAGTGCAGAACGTATTCATGAATATGGTCAACTAATATCAGAAAGTCAAGAGAACACTACTGACAATAATGTTCTCATTCAACCGGACAGCGATTGGCCCTCTCATGGTATTATCGAATTTAAAGATTATACTTTTCGCTACCGGCCAGAGCTCGATCCTGTACTTAAAAATCTTAATTTACGGATTGAGTCTAAGGAAAAAATTGGAATTATTGGTCGAACAGGTATGATTCCTTCATTTTAATAGATATAAGAATTATAATAATATCATCCATTGCTGAGATCGTTTTTTTATGAACAGTGTTCTCTCCTTAGAATCTGGAATGCTGGAATATGCATTAATAGTTATCTTTATTAGTATCTGTTTTTATTCGTTTAGGTGCCGGAAAGTCATCACTTCTTCAAGCTCTCTTTCGACTTGTCAGCCAATCAGCAGTTAATGGAACTATTCTTATCGATGGCATCGATATTGGACGTTTGTCACTCGATTATCTTCGTTCTCATATAAGTGTTATTCCACAAGTACCCATACTTTTTTGCGGTACTCTTCGATACAATATTGATCCATTCAAACAATTCACAGATGAAGAATGTCTTACAGCACTTGAAGCTGTTCAACTCAAATCATTGGTGCGCAACCATCCAGATGGATTCCATATGTTGGTAGCTGAATCTGGTACAAATCTGAGTGCTGGTAAACGACAATTAATTTGTGTAGCTCGAGCAATTCTGAAGAGAAGTCACATATTATTAATTGATGAAGCTACTGCAAATGTTGACTATGCAACTGATAAAATGATTCAGGAAGTAATTGCTGACAAATTTCGTGATCGTACCATATTAACTATTGCACATCGATTAAACACAATAGTTAATAGTGATCGCATTCTCATGTTACAACAGGGAGAGGTTGCCTATTTTGATGTACCCAGTAATCTTAATCTAATGTAATGTAATCGTGAAAAAACATGTTCTAATAATAGCGAAATAAAGTCCATGATTCTTTTATCTAAGATCTTAAAAGTAGCGAAGATTAAATATTCGATAGAACGTGAATACTTTGCAACAGGCGGAAAATATCTTTCATAAATACGTTTAAGTCAACGCCGTATATATTTGATAATTTCTTGGATTTTCTACGTGTTTGTTTCGTTAAGAAAAACGAAGACGAAATTCTTTTTTCACAAGTGATTATTCTGAAGGGTGTGGATGTGGATAAGGGTGAAGGTCTGAATACCTAGCACACATGAGAATCTTATCAAAACTCAGACACCCACACACCCTAGATTACAAAATCTTCATTATTTTGTATAAGAGAACAGTAAGTTTTATTTGTTGAAGCAAGGTAATGTTCGGTTTTAGATTTTCATCGTAGTCAGCAAAGTATCTTTTGTCAATAAAAAGATTATTGTTTAATGATATTTACAAAAAATAATCGGGATTTAGTATTAACAAAAAAAATTATTAACATAAGAAAATCATATTCTAGAATATATTATTTTTAAAAGAGAAAACAACTAAAAATCATAAAAGAGGAAACATGTTTTCATTAACAAGTAAACGCAAATGCTTTTCTAATTAATCATGGAACAGAAGCTACAATTTACATTTTCTTTATCAATTTAAGGAAAAAAAAGGAAACTGATTTTTTTTCATCATTTACTGTAGATAATAGTTAGTCAGTAGGAGGTAAAGCATAAGCTTAACAAAAAATAATATTTTTTAATTCTTTACAAACGCTTTTTATCGTTTGTTAAATAGTGCTACACCAGAAAATATCTCTCCTTTTTTTCTTTGCTACTTGTTTTTTTTACCCATATATATTTTCTGTTTGTTGCTATCTAGCATTTAAAAAGTCTCAACGGACATGTATGGCTTATTCTTTTGATAATTTTCGATGCGATACACGGTATTGTATACAGACGACAATGCACTTTTCAATGTAGAAATACGATTTTCATAAAATATCCTGGGAGTCAAAGGATTCTAAGCATTTTATCCCTTGTATTTTAAGTAGTCTATTGTTTAATGATTTAGCAGATATTAGTTTTCTATCGATTGATAAATTAGCTATTAACCGAATCAAAATCATTTCAAGTAATATTATATTCATACCTAAGACTATAAATATTTTGAATAATTGTAAGAAAACTATTAAATGGAAATCGGTAGCGGGTAATATTTAATATTTATCTAATTTCTGATTTTTTGGGATTTAGTTTATATCCCGATAGGTACTATGACAGACTGAAATAAAAGTAAGCTGATTTTTCTAGAAAATTATCTCTAACTAAAATATTGCGAAAACAATAAATTTAATTTGTATATGAAACTATAATAACATATATATATATATATAACTTTTTTAGATTATTAATTGAATAACTTCATCGTTTTATAAAGTTAAGAAATCATCCATTACCTGTTACGTCGTCGATTGCTAGTTGGAAAAATGCGTCTTTTTCAATTTATATCAGAAATCAATCTGTTTGAGACAGATGCGATCGATAACATTAGTATTCGAATTCAACGTTTATGTACTTGGTTTTTTATTTCGACTCTTACCACATGTTTACTGGTCGTGACTATTTATGCATCATTACATACGGACATGATACGTATTGAAATAAAAAATCCAACTATTGATATATATGAGAAATTAGCAGCTAATAACTATTCAATAGAATGTGACTGTTCAGAAACATCCGTTCCTCATAAAGAATTCATCAGTCTTCAACCGATTTATCATCAAGTTTGTTCGAGTGATTTTGTTACGCAACGTTGGATTGATTATCTATACGATTCAACTAAACATTCGTTCTATTTGCATGCTGATTTTCGTTCGACCGCTATGCAACAATTTCAACTACTGGCTATTTTTTGTCAATTAAGTATTCAAGAAACTGAAGATGATCTTGACTTGTTTTTTCATACTGAAATTATTAGTGGCAAACTAATGAGTAAAGATTTTCTTTTAGCTGACGCTTACTCTCGTATTAACGCATCCAAGAGAAATGCGCCTGATGCATTTGATTATAAACTAATGTTTATTCGTGAGATGATTGCAGGCAATGTTCTCTTATCATCAACCGCAACTATTTTCCAATTTAACTTTGAATATTGGGATTCCTTATCCGGAGCTAGATGGGTGCTTACCAATGGTGATGTTACTTTTTTTCAATCGGACAAGTCTTTTTGTATTTGTAAGGAACAGTTTACATGTTCTACACCTGCAGTATTCTTAGATAATAGTAATAATTCGTCTGCTTATTTTTATATTATCGATGGATGGTATATTGGATGTCGACCAATTGATTCACTTCTTTCGTCAACATTAAAAACTTTTTATAATCAAGCAATGATTAATTCATTGTTAAGATATTTTAATAATATACCATCAAATTTTACATGTTTAGATGCAAATAAAGAAAGTATATTTGATTTGAATACTAATCTGTCAATTATTATTAAATCAGGTTTTATTGAAAAATGGATTGAAAATATAAACTATTCATTATATTTTAATCGTTGTGCACCACAACTGTGTTTCTATACAATCAACAAACGTTTCAACATTTATTATATTATAACTGCAATTATTAGTGTATACGGTGGTCTTTCTACTGTTCTAAGTCTTATAATTCCAAGTATTGTAAAATCAATAACTCAACATAATGCAGAAACATCTCCCAGAGATTACTCTTTTAGACGACTGAAACAATTAATTATTACTTGGCTTCGACAACTTATTCCTGCTCTTATCAAAATAAATCTTTTCCGTTCATCGATACGTCTTGAACCTTCAGATATTTATCAACAACGATGGTCAACTCGATTTTACATTACTTTCTTGTCAATTTTTTTTATCATTATAACAATATACACAGCAGCAACAAAAGAAACAGTTCATACAGAGTTAATTGAACCTTCGTTCGATGAAGTCTTAAATCTTCAGCAACAAACTAATTTATCATCTCTTCAATGTCCATGTTCTAAACTTTCTTCATTGTATAATTATTCAATTAAATTAACTCCTACCTATCACGAAATATGTGACAGCGACTTCGTATCGGACGCATGGATTCGTCTAATGCTACCTTTAGAGCATTATCATCCCTACAATTTTGAACAAAATGGACCTATTTTTAAACTCCTTCAATCATTTTGTAAATTAGCCAAGATAACAATAAATAATGCTCTTAATATATTCTATGCAAGCCAATTAGTTACTCCAAATCTAATCACCGAAGATCTCTTCAAATCTCTAATGATTTCTGAATGCGAATATTTTAAACATGTTACACCTAATCGTTTTTCTTATCTCTTGGAATTCACACGTCAAACAATGAAAGTTAATCAATTTACCTATGGTATATATACAAATTATTATATATTGATGGAAAATAATACAGGGCATGTGTTAGTTTACATTCATTTTCGTGGCAGCTGGTATTATCATATTAACGAAATTTTTTGTTCCCTTATGTTTGACCCAGCTTGTATATTACAAACAGTTTTATATACCAAGAATATATACGGACATATCATAGAGAAACTTTTATCTGGCTTCTACACATCCGCATTCTATGTTAATTCATTACTATTAACACAACTCCAATGTTTGTATAATCAATCGTGTGTTAACATTATTAATAGTGTAATTGCCGATCCATTTTATCCATTTAATTTCACAGCATTATCTCAAACAAGTCGCTTTTCAAATAACGTCACTATTGATTTTCTTTCAAAGCATTTATTTACTGAGTCTTGGTCGCAAACCCCAAGCTATATGGGCTATTTTGAACAATGTCAACCTCATTCATGTTCGTACACAACCAGTCAACGACGTACTTTCGTTTTACTCATGATGACTGTCATTGGTTTGTCTTCTACTGTATCTATTATTCTTCGATTTATATCACCATTTATTATATCTTTTATTCTTAAACATTGTCGACGAACACAACAAACAAGCTCTTCTGACGATACTCAACGAGGTAGAATTTTTTTTTTGAAAAAAAATCTTTTCACTTGTAAAGCACGAATACATAGATAAACTATGATTACATCTACAGGTTTGATTGTAAAAAATCCACGAATATTGAACTTTGATAAGGGATAAAAACGAACTTTTCTAATATCTATCTTTTGTTACCTGACCAGAACGGGTTAAAATATCGACAATTAATGACATTAAAGAAGACATACATGTATAAACCAACGAGTTTTTTTTCAAATTTTCAGTGTTTATATCTACGAATAGTAATGGGAGCATGTGGGTATGATGATATGCAATTGATGACACTACTAATCGGTAGCTTTCACTGCATATCAGAACTTCCAAAGAACTCTTGTCTAAAACTTCTTTTATAATGTCAATAATAAGTATATATTTAGTTATAGGTCATTTTTCTATTCGAACATATATCGTTAATGTGTGGAGAAAATCTCATCAATACATTACGACACTAAATATATTCGAGAATGTTGATAAGCCTAATCCATCTGATGAAGAATTAAATGCTCAACGAAAATGGACACGTGCATACATCGTCGTATTAATCGTAATAATGGCTAGTGTCATTTATATTACCATGCTGTCTTATCAAACAGTTACAACCATTGTGGACAAACCAACATTAGATGAATATGCAAATCTACGAAAGTCAGCTGATTGTCTTTGCACCAACCTGTCTATTCCTTATCACACTTTCATTAACTTCAATCCACAATTTCACGAAGTATGCAAAAGCCATTTTATTGAATTAAATGGTGAATGGATGTCATTACTTTATAATTCGTATACAGATCAACTACCTAATAAACGAAACCGTCGTACATTTCAAGGTATGGCAATATTTCATTTTCAGGCAATACAAGCAATGTGTAGAATGGTTATAATGGCTGTCAACAATGAACTTACTCTCTTTTTGAACTCGACTTTAACCACTGTTGAAATACTTGAATCAGATTTATTTGAAAAGAAAATAAATGCTACTATCAACAATTTTTGCTTAAATACGATGCGCTCAAATTTTCTTTATTCGTTACAATTGATTCGGAATATGTACTCTGGAAATGGTTTAATTTCAGCACTTACTACAAGCTGGTATCCAGTGGTTGCATTTAAAGCAACTATTGGAACGCTCTATATGCAAGCTCAAGAATATAATCTATCATCATGTAACTGTGCGACAATGCCAGCTTGTGTGGAACCAATATCTCTTAAATTGAACTCAGGATCTAACTGGACAGTACCGGGAATGATGATTGGTTGTTTACCTCTTGAATCAATGCTTGAGTCAACATTAGAATGTATATATGATCAAGATTGTCTCGATACAATAACTGAAACGTTATTGGCTAAGTCGATACGACCGCTTTCCTCTACTCGAACTCGCTTTAAACCAATTAACACGACAAAACTTACAATAATTGCTAGTGAACTATTTATCGAAGATTGGGGTGTTGAATTTGCTTATGAAAAGTATTTTGCTAGTTGTCAACCTAAAACTTGCTCGTATACATCGTTAGAACGATTCCGTATTAAGGATTCAATGGGTACAATTTTCACCATCTATGGTGGTATCTGTATTTTACTTCAATTTATTATTCCGATTGGATTTAAATTGGTATATAAATGTTTTTCTCAACGAAATAGACAAATTACAGCAATGGATACTACTTAATCAAGATTTTTATTCTGATAAAATCCATTAAAAACATTTTCTTCAAAATGAAGACAATAACAATAAGCTTTTTGTATATTTATCTTCATAGTATTCAATAAATATTTTTGTTTTATTCGAAAAATATGTTTTTTCATTTTTCTATTTAAAGCAGTTTTTGATTCGCACAATTACAAGTTCAGCAAAATAAATGATCATTTTATTAGAGGTGGATGGGAGTCTATGCGTAAGATGCTTTTAATATACGCATCGATCCACCCACACCTTATATTATGCCGATTTTTAACTGTAAAACGACTATGATATGATAATAAATTTTAATAAAATCTCGTTTATTTAGGAACAATTGAGAAAATAGATTAATATAAATAACTATTATAATGCAGTTAAGAGATTAATTGAATAGGATTCGCAACAAGTTCAACTGTCAAATGATGAATAGCTGTCTAATTCGCCTTCGAATATAATGGTAAATTTGCAAACATCCTAAGGCCTATCATACTCTATCATAAATAGCTATCTCATAATTCCAATATAATATATACCTATATATATTCGTACCTAGGTTTAAATAACAACAACCATCGGTTCTAAACAAAGTCATGCTTAAAAATAATTTCGTAGTTTAAATATCCACTTTCTTCTTGAAGAAAACACAGATTCAGTAACATAAAATAAAAAGCACTAATGACATCACCAATTTGGATCACATGAAATAGATACAAGCACTTTTTATATTCATGAGCAATTGTAGTACAAAAGTAGTCTGCAAAAATCATCACTACATTGATATATGTAGTTCTTCATTTCTAGAGTGCTACTTTTCATTAAAGATTTGTTCGCGTTATGAACCGTAAGCTTAACGTTTCTTTTATTATTTTAAAATCAAAGTTAGCTATAATAAATTGCGGCGTACCACAAAATCTTGTATGAAATATCATACCATTGGCATATTATCCACTGCGATGATAGTCTCAAATCAATTTTTCAATAAAATACATAACATTAATCTAATAGAGCTATGCACAGATGAAGCTGTTACATCTTGAGGGTGTGAGTGTGATCTTTAATTGGAATCTATACCCACACCCCTGCGATCTTTTGTCGATTTGTATCCGAGTTGATGCCATTGTTGTTTGAATTCTCCTCACGTTCATCTAATGTTGATACCTTGTTTAATGCAACAACGGTTACTAACGATTGTCGGACAGTCGGAGGGATTTTATCGATTTCTGAATGACAATGTTTGAAGTTTCAAAATCACCCATATCATAGGGACGATATTAGATTTTTCTGTTTTTATAGACTTTTGTGTGTTTGGGAAGGAATCATTCTTTTGAGCTGAAATTTTCAGAGCATTTCACTCACCAATAGGTTTATCTTTAGGCGAAATATCATCAATCAAATTGTTGGTGTATATCCTGCCATAGACTAAAATTTCAGTGAAACACCTTTAACTCTGAACAGAAAGCCTATAAACAGCACATCCTTTTTAGGATTTTCGTACTTCACTATGGTCTATCTTGTAGACAAACTGCGAACTCAAAAGTAACTGGATAGTGGAAACGGTTCCGTCGTTAGTGTGATATACGGTAATGAGTTTACTCAAAAACAAACAATACCTCATTCATTGTAATTTCCACTAAGCACATTTTTACTCGACAATCATCAAATAATTCTTACATCGCTTTTTGTTTTGAATTTGTTGCGTTAGAAGCAGGGTGAATACAATAAATGCACTGTCCACCACACCCATACTTTTACAATCTCGAACTACAGTCTCATGCATCACTCGCCTAGAGTCTGCACTATAAACTATTACCTAACGCATATACATCTAAAGAAAATCGATATCATCATTCGACACTATTCACAAGTACGAATAAGACGTGTTCTTCTTCGTATAATATTTATCGTATTCCTTCGATATATATATATATATCTTCTTATCAAGGTCATTTTTTCCATTGTTCAACTACAAGAAAATAACTATCTGAACCAAACCATCAATTGACTTTCATCACCTTTCGGTACTGCCGATTTAGGGCACCATGACTAGGCAGTCCCGTCGGGTTGCTTCTACTATCCAACCATCTTCTCCAAATTCAACAGTTAAATATCAAGATAAATCAACATCCTGTCGTACTCCTTCCACTTCTAAAAACACTCTTCGTAATCCAACATCACCTCAAATTAATAATCTTTCACCAGTCAAGACAAGTAGCACTACACAAGTTAGTTCATCGGGTACTAATAATTCAAACAAAAGAAGAACCAGTGGTATTAATCATACATGCTCTGCTATCAAGATGCAACAACCAATTGTACAAAATATCGAGCAAGTTAACCAACAAACAACGACATCTATCAACTCTTACTCACCCACCATTAATAGTTCACCTTGTCCCCAGTATGATACTAATGATATTACGGATATGGAAGATGACAATAACTCTAACTTCACACTAGTCAAACACAAAAAATCTAATAATAAAAATAAAAAAGCAAAAACTGATTCTGATCTAAAAGATATACCTTCATCAGTTACGACAATTATTTCCAACTCGGCAAATGTTATTTCCAATTCTACATCGTTTAATACTGCCAGTATTATTGCTACTGAGAGTATTCCAACAATTAATGATCGTACACATCCTCCAACTGATACAAATTATACTTCTGATACTAGCTGTAATCCAAACGAAATCTCTGAACAAGCTCTCAGATTTGCTGAAACACGTTACGCCTTTCCAGCTTTCGTTATTAAATTTAATATAGATGTGATCGAAAAAAATATCATTCAACATTTGATGAAACATTTCACAATGAATTATAATTTCGATATAGCACTTGCAGGACATCGTATGAAAAACAAACGTGAATTAATTTTGTTTGCCAGTAACAGAGAATCATTTGCTATGTTGTATGATGATCAAAAATGGCCAAATACTATTGACTCATTAATGTTTATCAAAATTAAACCAAGCCATTTACCACCTCAGTTCTCATTAATGCTTCGTAATGTTCCAGTGGATATGGAAGTAAATGATCTTCTCTTAGAAACAAAAAATGATTATCCTGAAATTATTAGTGCACACAGAATTACGAATAAATACAATCAACCAACAACATTCGTTCGTATCGACATTAACAAGGTGGAGGTCATCGAAGAACTTAGGAGTAAGAAATATATTTATGTAAATTATATTCGTATTACAGTTACCGAATACTTGGCACCAGCCAAGGTGCTGGTTTGTAACAAATGTTTTAGGATCGGTCACTTCAGAAGTACCTGTCCAAGTAAAATTGAATATTGTCGAACATGTGGTGAAGGTGTTACCAATATCAATGAACATAAAACAACGTGTAACAAAATACAATGCTGTATACGATGCAAAGGTTCACATGATTCAAATGGTGTTAGATGTCCAGACATCAAAATGTTTCGTTCGGCTTTAACTAAAGTTCTTCTTGATCCATCAGGTGCAAAACATCATTATAAGCAAAATGAGCAACCGCATTACTCACAACGTTCTCAACAACTCAGTCAAGTTAATCAACAACATCAACTGGTCAACCAACAGCATCAAAAGGTTTCATATATTAATAATCGTAATGCCTGGTCCACATCAAATGACACAAATACAAAGATCGATGAACTGTCTAATAAAATTAACAAATTAGATTCCAACTTAAATCGATTAATAGATCTGAATAACAAATATTTAGACCAATTTAACAACATTCAAACTGTAGTTGAAAGACATCAACACATAACGGAATTACAACAAGCTGATATCTCGTTTCAGCATGATTTTACTAGTCAATTTATTTCTCCAATATGTCAAATGATTATTGAAGTTATTCCGATGTTAGTTAAACAGAACACTATTAATAATAATACGTTATTATGTCCATCTCTTACCAACTTATGTGATAAACTAGCTGGTGAATTATCCAATTGGACAAATAAATTTGCACAAACGGAAAACCTTAAAACAAAACTCATCATGAATTATAATAATAAGAACCAAGGTTCTCCAAGTACTAACAATAACAACAACTGTAACAACAACATTAGTAGCACATCCTCCAACAACGTACAACAACATCATCTTCAAACATCCAATCAATAACAAGTTCTGTCAGCTCAACACGCAAGTATATACTCTCTCCCTTTTCTGCGCCCTTCTTTCCATCTATAAACGTTAAACATAAGAGTTTCGACATCGAATTTGCGCTATCGCTTGCTTCTTCTATGTTATCTTCTCATGATCTTTGTTTACTTAAGAAAATTGTTAACGAGTGGTTTTTCTTTCCGACTTTATCTACTTGCTTTGCTCACTGGAAATCTTTTTGTAAATCATGTACCTATTCTCTTTCCACACAATTAAATATACTTCTTTTCAACGTAAGAGGACTTGAGGAAAGATGGGATGAGGTCCTTCTCCTAATAGATAAATACAAGGTTGATTGCTTAATACTAACAGAAGTTGGTGCAACTGATATATCTGTACTTAAACAGACGTTTGTTAATTTTAATTACTTTTATCAACAAGGTGAAAATTCGTGGGGCGGGGTGATAATGTTATTTAAAATCAGCCTTTCAGTAACGCGCGTGAGTTGTTCATTACCTAACCTATGTGTAGTTGATGTAAAATTGGAAAATACGGTTAGACTGATAGGTATGTATGCACCGGAAAGTAAATCATGGCAGTGGACTTCACTGTCTGAATATATTACAGAAGATTGTTGTTTATTAGGAGATTTCAACATTGACTTAGAAGATAAAGCCGATGAAGTGGTAGCTAATGATCTACTTAATTGGACTGAATCAGTACGTTTAGTCCCAGTTACACCTAATGCCCCTACGTCACGAAGATCTAATAGAACTATTGACTATGCCTTCACTAAAGAAAGGTCACTCTCACTCCAAGTTTGCTCTGATAATACAACTAGTGACCATTGGCCCGTACTAGGTATAATGAACGGTGAGAATAAAGAGAAAGAGATAGGCAGTAAAATACATTGGAAATAGGCATGTACCGAGCCCGAGCCTCTCGGGCTCGGGTAGGCTCGGGGCTCGGTCAGGCTCGGGGCTCGGTAGGCTCGGGGCTCGGTTAGGCTCGGGGCTCGGTCAGGCTCGGGGCTCGGTCAGGGCTCGGGCTCGGTAGGCTCGGGGCTCGGTCAGGGCTCGGGCTCGGTAGGCTCGGTCACAACTCGAGGCTCGGTGTCAGGTGGATGCAGGAGTGAATTTCTTACATCTGAGCCCGAGCCTACCGAGCCCCGAGCCTGACCGAGCCCGAGCCTGACCGAGCCTACCGAGCCCTGACCGAGCCCCGAGCCTACCGAGCCCGAGCCTTGACCGAGCCCCGAGCCTACCGAGCCCGAGCCTGACCGAGCCTACCGAGCCCCGAGCCCGAGAGGCTCGGTCAAGGCTCGGGCTCGGTACATCCCTAATTGGAAAGTATATAACTTTTTTCTCTCGCTTACTGCAGAATTCTGGGAAAATGAAAGCAAAATTGCGCCGATGGATGAGTATTATAATAATTTCATCGCATTACTAGATTGTTTAAAAGCGAGATGTACGTCCTATTTTCCAATTAAAAAATATCGTTCGGCTATCCCCAAAGAATTGAGGATAAAACTATCCTACACTCGTGCTTTATCTTTTCAACATAAAAGGACTGGTGATGTAGCTCTTCACAAACAAATAAAAATGATGAGGAAAAATAACAGATTAGAATTACTCGAAATTAGATCGAGAAACTTAGCTGACGCATTGAAAGATCGTTTCTCGTCATCTACTTCGTCTAATCAGTTCTGGTCTAAACTTAGGAAGAATTTTAAAAGCGTCAACTCTTTAGAAGCATTTATTGATGACAATAAAGCAATAGTTACGGACACAGCAAAAATGCTAGAATTAGCTGCTGCACACTATGAAAACTTGTTTAAAGAACCTATAGTATATAGACCGCACCCTTACGTTGACAGTCCTAAAGTAAATTGGGAAAATAATAATGAACCTATTCCTCCTATCACACTTCCCGAACTATTAAAAGTTGTAGCTAAAGTTAAGAAAAAACATTCCACTGATGCTAATGGAATTTCTTCTTATATGCTAAAATTTATGCCTCACACATACTGGTTACCTCTTCTAAAAATATTCAATAACTCTCTCTCGACGAGTGAAGGACCTTCTCATTGGAAACATGTTAAAATGAAATTATTAGCTAAGGGAGACCCTATATGTACAGTTTGTGATACACGCCCGATCTCCTTACTCGACATATTTTTGAAGATTCTGGAGAGATTAATACTAGTTCGTTTCCAAAAGGTCCTCAAAGATAGAGGTTTATTGAGTGATTCTCAGTCTGGTTTTAGATCTAGTTTCAGACTCCAGACACGTGTTCTTGTTCTAATTGATCAAATTGCTTCCTTGATGAGTACCAGCGCACCGGTAGCAACCGTATACATTGATTTCAAGCAGGCTTTTGATCAATTATACTGGGAAGGCTGCTTAGGAAAGTTGGGAAGGCTAGGGGTTCCCAAGTCTTATATATCTTGGATCGATAGTTGGTTAAGAAATAGATCAGGATTTATTGAAATTAACAATATAAGATCCAGATTTTTTCCGATAGAGAAAGGGGGGCCGCAAGGGTCATCGTTGACCCCGGCGATCTTCATTACGTACCATTGCGATATGTGGTCGTATCTCCAGAACTCTTTACCTAACTTTTTCGCTGATGACCTAGCGTGTGTGGTAGGAGGAAGAATGGGAGTTCAATATTCGTTACAATGTATTGACCTGGAACGAAAGCTCCAAAAACTTTTCGAGTATCTTGAGTACTACTCGATACTCTCGGTCCAACCGATAAATTATAGGAAAACCGAGATGATCTGGTCGTCCAGAGCCATTCCTAAACCCCGTTTTGAACTTGCGATGGGGGGCCAACATATATCTTGGGTAAAGAAATATAAGTACCTAGGATATTTGTTGTCCCCCAAATTAAGCTGGGACAGCTTGATCTCAGCCTATAAAACCAAGATTAGGCAAAGGGTAGGGATAGTTAAGTCGTTCAGATTATACGGAACGTCCTCAACCGAATTCCGAAGAATCCTATTTACAACTTTCGTCAGACCCCTTTTCACTTGGTTGTTTGTTATTTTTCCGCTCTTGACCCATCGCCAGAGAGATGATCTCTCACACTTCTTCGTTACTTGCCTTAAGAGAACCCTAAGGATCCCCCACTGGAATGATTTTCTTTTTGTTTCTTTAACTAACGAAAAATCGCTAGAAAATTACTGTTCCACCTACTTGAGAAAATACATTAAGGGACTGAGCAATACCACCGATGAACTTCTCCTCTATGAACAAGCTAACTTTAACTTCTATAGAAATCAGTGGCTTAGGAAGGACTCGATCATTAAATTTATATATAGATCAAAACGTATAGTTCCCTATAGTTCCTCCATTGAGAATATCCTTTGTTGGATAGATAAGAATGTGGAAGATTCAATCCCCTCAATTAATAATGATGATCTTAACATCTTGAGAAACTTTCCTGAATCTTTCTTATAATATTTTCTCCTCTTTTTGCCTTCCTTCTCTTCTACTAATGCGTGTTGTCATTTGTTTGTTTTTCTCTTCGATTGATTTCTAATTTCAACTTGTATATGTCATCTGCATGGTGTTGCTAATGGTACGCTTCTCTTAATATACTAGTGTTGTTGTACTTGTGTTATAGTGCTCACCTATTTTTATATTTAAATTCATTTATTGTCAGATATTATTCCATGGATTATGTATTAATAGGCCGTAAGGCATTAATTAACTTAAATACAGCATAATAAAAAAAAAAAAAAAAAAAAAAAAAAATCGATATCATGTTATTGTTAACAGCCGGACTGCCTGGTCCTATAAATCATAAAACTATTTTAATCAAAAGATTCAGTTTCATATTTTGCTAAAGATAAACTAAGAAAAATCTGAAAGAAATGCGTTTTACATATCTGACATCACATTAATATTCTTCTAGCACTTGATGAAAAAACTTAGCTATAAAAATTTCTCTCTCATGATCACCAGTAGAAATGGGAATCTATGACAACAAGTCGCCAATATATTCTATCTAATGAGAGTCCCACAAGTAATAAAATTTGTCCTTTTTTATTTTTTTTTATATATGCTAACAAGCTTTTAGCTTCCTTACTCTCCTCTAGCCCACTCACATTCCAGATTTTCTTTTTTCTGATTTTTCCTTATCCGAGTTTCTTTTTATGATTTTACCTTTTCCGGATTTCATGACAACACCCACTGATTATAATATTATCTAACATCTTAGTTATATAGAACTGAATAAAATGAGCTTTATTAGAAAACATAGTTTATCAGCAAATAGATATAGACAATTCACTGTGATCGATCCTATACAGAGACTCTGAACCCATAAACGATTTGATAGTTGAGGATTATTCCTTGTCAGATTTTCTCTCTGATCTTTGTCGTGTAACACAACAAGAAAAACAGTTTTCTGCCACATCAGTATTTAATATTCATTAGTAAAAATAGAACCATAAGGTTCTTTTTCTCTGATTTTTAGGATAAATAATGTAGGTAGCATGATATATTTTCATATAAAATTGTTTTTCTCGACAACATTTATCATGGAAAGAATAAAAACGAAGAAAATTAAAACAACAGATGGAGAACATTAGTTAACAGAAGTAAAAATCATATACTATATTTTTTCTCTTTTCATACATTTTACAAGAAACGATATCAGTTCATTTTATGAAGTGAAACAATCTTTAAAAGAAATAAAACTATTTTGTCGATTTTTAATGGATCAATCTGAATCTATAGAGACAAATACAAATACAGATGAAACAACAAATTCGTTGCCAAAAACAACAGAGTATGCTTCTTTTTTAAATACTGAAACTGTAACAAAGAAAATCGATTTTGTTTTTAGAATTGAAGTTATAGTGAAAAAAAAGTTTACACGTGTTAAAGTCATCATCATTGTTAGTATTTTGATTATTTTAAGTGTTGGTATACCTGTAAGTATTGTTATAGCAAAAAAATCAGATACAAAAGCAACAAAGATGATGGTAAAAACGGTAATCACAACAGCAATGAACATATCAACAACAGGTAGTTGTAAGAGATAATAAATGAAATAGAATGAGAAAGTGAGTTTGATACAGATTATCTGTTGAAAATGACGATCATCGTCTTTGAAAAGAACTAAGTTTTTAGAGATAGTATTGAGAGAAATGATCTTTTTCCCAATAATCAAGTTATTAACCATTACTTGTCTTTTGTTTGTTTAAAATATTTCAGGCATAACCACAACAAGAAAAACAACGAAAATAACAACGACAACAGCATATAGTAAGTGAAATACAACATATCTACTTTGCAGACGTTTTCGATATAAATGCAGTTTTGTCTCGACTACAATCGCATGAGAATCTAGGGATGTACCGAGCCCGAGCCCTGACCGAGCCTCTTGGGTTCATGCTCGGTCGGGGCTCGGGTGTGAGGATGAGTGTAGATGAGACTGAGAGTGTGGGTGCGGTGAGTGCGGGTACTATCCTTTTTACTCTCACTCATACTTTCACCCACACTCTTCGCCACACCCACACCCTCAACACACTAATTGAATGTTATTTCTACATCTCTTCACATGTGTTGAAAACACTTTTTTTTGCAATAGACCCATACAAGTCAATATATATGGCACAGACAACTTACTCAACTGACTCGAAGCCGTCCGGTTTGGCAGTGGTTGATATAAATAACGACAGTAAACCCGACATTATTGTCGCAAATGTTGACGGTGGCACTATCAATATTTACCTCAACATCGGCAACGGTACGTTTACTGCAAATACAACTTACTCAATTGGCACAAGGCCAATCGGTGTGGCAGTAGGTGATATCAATGACGACGGTCAACCTGATATTATCGTCTCAAACGTTTATAATAACAATGTCGGTGTTCTCCTTAACATCGGCAACGGTACATTTACTGCACAGACAACTTACTCTGTTGGCGACCGTCCATACAGTGCGGTAATAATTGATGTCAATAACGATAATAAATCCGATATTATTGTTCCGAACTCTGAAAGTAACAATGTCGGTGTTCTTCTGGGTAGCGGGAACGGTACATTTGCCGCACAAACAATTTATTCAACTGGGTTAACCCCATTCAATGTGGCCGTTGTCGATGTTAATAACGACGACCAACCAGACATTATTGCTTCAAACCATTACAGTTTCAGCGTCAGTGTTTTATTCAACATAGGCAACGGTACATTCGCTCCACAAAAAGCTTACACAACTGGCACCAATCCGTACGGTGTGGCAGTAGTGGATGTTAATAACGACACCAACCCAGACATTATTGTTACACATTCCGGTAGTAACCATGTCAGTGTTCTTCTCAATAGAGGCAATGGCACGTTTACTGAACAACAAACGTACTGGACTGTTTTCCACCCGCTGAATGTGGTAGTGGTCGATGTTAATAACGACGGCAAACCTGATATTATTGTCGTGAACTATCATACTCACAATGTCAGAGTTCTCTTCAACACCGGCAATGGTACGTTTAATGCAGAAACAACTTACGCAACTGGGAACAATCCACGAGATTTGGTAGTGTTCGATGTTAATAACGACGGCAAACCCGACATTATTGTCACAAACGAAGGGAGTAACACTATTAGTGTTTTATTGGCTTGTTGAAATCAATTCACAAACTTAATTCTATTTATTCAATAACACTCTACTCATAAATTGAGAATATTACCCATTAATCAATATCTTTTAGGAGAGGAAGATCGTCATTTTTTTTTATAAAAATCTTTTTTCGCGATTCTTGGGTGTGGGCGTGGGTATTAAGATGAGCGAGGACGACAGTTGCACACACCCAACGGATCAGATTTCGATGCTAGTTTTCTCAATTGGTGATTTTTCTCATGCTTTTTGAACGTTTGCTTATTCTTTAATTATCTATATTACGTCTTACATATTATTCAGCTTGCTTTTTCTCTGTAGATGCCAATATATGCCTTCTTCTTGTGTACGGTGTAGAGGTGGGTGTCGGTGTGATTGAGGGATAGTGAAAAGGCACACTCACTCTTACTATATGATTTATCTATGAAAAATATTTGAAAAATTCAATTTTAATTAATAACTCACTCTTATGTTTGATTCTGTTGACATAAAGACATTGAGGAATCAATTATATTTTTTTAATCATTGTTTCTTTTATATTTATACTTTAATACGTAACATACAATCTCAAACAAAGAAAAATTCTTATCAGTTTTATGTTTTTCAAATCTGAAATTTATGTTTCGTTTGAAATTTACTGATTCAACAATAGACTACTAGTGCACCAAGAATACCCCCCAGAGATGGTCCAAATGAAGCTTCTACTATCCCACGAAGAAAAGTCATCAGAGTGATAGTGTTGATGTAACGCATCCTTGTTTAGTAGGATGTAGTGAATACATAAACAAATATTAATACAATTTGTTTTATGATAATATAAGATCGAGTATGAACATAGTCATTGTTTGAGTTATTTCTGTAGAAGAGATAAATGTCTAATTGACGATAATTCAACGTGTTTTCTTTGAAGATAAAATGAATAAAAAGTATCAGTATAATTATTATGTAATTCGAGAAGATAGATTGAGCAGACATTGTATAAACGACTTATAATCGTAACCACAGAAACATATTTGTAGACGTCAGCTTGACCAAGTTCATTACATATGTAAATGAACTTGCTCGTATGTATTCGGTGTGTGGGTGTGTGTGGATGTGAGTGTGATCTTTAATTGGAATCCATAACCACACTTACACCCATATTCTCACCTACACCCACACTCTCATCCATACCCATACCCTTAAGATTATCTTTTGTTCATGGATAAATGGTTGAAACCATTCAGCAGTGCAATTGTCTGCCATTGCTTGACTAATTCACTCTGATCTCGAATCATTTACTGCCGATCAACTTTCAGTCATACGTCATTTTCAAACTCTACAAAGCTTATCTTCATTGATGCTGATAATTGATCAAAAAATTTCAAGAATTAAAAAAATCAAAAAGACAATCTAATAGGATTTTAATGAATTAGATAATTTTACCAGTCTATTTCTGTTTCTTTTCTGTCATATGACTTAATCTTTGATTGATTTTTTCCTTCTATGTTATCTTCCAACTTATTCTCATATGGAATATTTCAACTTAACTAACTGTTTTTTTGTCGTATTACGAACATGCATTTCGAAAACACAAGCATGTATGAATGAAACAAATAACGATTCAATGTTGGTATATTTCTTTTTCTTTCTTTACCTTTCTTTGTCAAGAATAGGAGGAAAAACAGATACATCAAGTCAGCATATAAAACCACTTTATATTACACAAATCATGATGAGATAAAACAAATCGCTTGTGAAGGTTATTTTCAAGAGAAAAAAAATCATATTTATGTTTTTTTTCTTTCATTCGTAATTATGTGTGTTTAATAGGTATTTATCCCACGTTTTCTTCGATGATCAGATGATATATTTTCAAAGACATTGAAGAAAAGAATATTATCAGGAGAGTATCATTTTTTCATTTCTTATTTCTAACATATTAGTGGTATTTTAATCTATCATGAGTCAATCAGCAACGATAAATTCTACTAAAGTTAAATGATGATATAAAGAATTTTATGAATGAAAAGAAAGTATTACGTATGATCTTTCTATTATAAGTAGGATTTAGTAAAATTAAGTCAATTTTAATAAACATTCATGAGTAAGAAGCAATGAGAACTCGCTAAGACCTACACCCTCATCGAAAAAATATCACGAAAATCGTTTGAATTTTTATTTTAAATTAAAATCAAATCGATTTCTTCTATTAGTGAACAACGTTTTTATTGTCATTGAATTATTAAATTTATATTTATAAAAATAGATTATTCATTTCTTCTAGAGATATATATTCAACAACATGACAATGGCAAATAACAAAACAAAATGTTTTATATGTAATAAAGAAAAAATAACATATTCATGTAGAGGATGTTCAAAAGAATTTTGTTTTAAGGATTTAACAGAACATAAACAAATATTAAATGATCAATTAAATAATATTACTAAGGATTTTGACCAATTTAAACAAATAATTAATGAACAAAAAGAAAATCCACAAAATCATTCGTTAATAGAAAAAATCAATCAATGGGAAATAGAATCACTTGAAAAAATTCAACAAAAAGCACAAAATTGGAGAGAAATTGTCCTGGAATGTTCAACAACACTTGTTAATGATATTGAAAAGAAATTTAATGACTTAACGGAACAAATAAAGCAAATTCGTAGAGAAAATGACTTTAATGAAATTAATCTAAATTATTTAAGAGAACAATTAGTAGAAATTACACAAGAATTAAATAATCCATCAAATATATCTATTCAACAAAATTCACAACCGTTTATTAATGATATTTCAATGATTTTATCTAAAAGTAAGTTTTTAAGAAATTATTTCTAGCAGGATAATTCTCATTTTCTAAGAATTAACGTTAAAAAACTATTTTCAAAGATTCAAAAGATATGTTTGTCTAATAAAACAAATTGAATTGTTTTCCAATTAAATATTTATCAAGTTGTTTCACAAATAAACTATCTTTCATTAAAAATATTCTTTCTCCTCCAAATTTAGATTCGAAAAACAATAAGTTTTAAATTCTTTTTTTTAAAATACAAAACTTCAAATAATTTATGCTCTTTTTCTTTTCATACTTTTCTAGGACCAAAATTCAATAAATGGAAACAAAATGCCATCACCATAGCTGCTGGAAATGGACAAGGAAAACAATTAAATCAACTCAGTCGCCCTGCTGGAATCTTTATTGATAAAAATAAAAATATTTTCATTGCTGATTTTTGTAATCATCGTATTGTTGAATGGAAATGCAATGCAAAAAAAGGACAAATCGTTGCAGGTGGAAATAAACAAGGATATCGAATGGATCAATTGAGTTTTCCAACTGATGTGATTGTTGATCAACAAAATCATTCCATCATCGTTGCTAATCAAGGGAACAGACGAGTGATTCAATGGTTAAATCAAACTCAAAAAATTCTTATTAAGAATATTGACTGTCATGGTTTGGCAATGGATAAACATGGATTTCTTTATGTTTCTGATTATGTGAAAAATGAAGTGAGACGATGGAAAATGGGTGAATATAACAATGAAGGAACTATAGTGGCTGGTGGAAATAGAAGAGGAGATCAACCCAGTCAACTCAATGGTCCTACTTTTATCTTTGTCGATGAAGATCAATCTGTTTATGTAACAGACAGGAAGAATGATCGCGTGATGAAATGGAGAAAGGATGCAAAAGAAGGAACAATTGTAGCTGGAGGAAATGGTCAAGGCGAGAATCTCAATCAATTGTTTTATCCTCGAGGAGTAATTGTTGATGATTTGGGTCAAATCTATGTAGCAGATCGGAGAAATCAACGAGTAATGCGTTGGTGTGAAGGAAAAGAAGAAGGTGAAATAGTTGTTGGTGGATTTGGCCAAGAAAATCAATTGAATAGTCCTAATTGTTTATCTTTTGATGCTGAAGGAAATCTTTATGTTACTGATCGTTGGAATAATCGAATTCAAAAATTTGAAATAATATTGTGAATGAAGTTTTTTCTTAAATAAAAAATCGAATAAATTCCAAAGAAAAAAATAAAGAAAAGTGTTTTGTTTGTTTTTCTTTAAAAAATTGAATTTAAGTTGAGAATTTTGATTAACAAAGTCTATCATTTCCAATTTCATTTCGTTTGATTTTGAAAAGATTTATAAGAAAAATTGAATTGAAAAAAGATTTTCCAAAATGAAAACAAAATATAAGAATTTTGATTAAATAAAAAAATTTAAGATTTACTTGAAATGTTTCAATGAATAAGAAAAACTATTTACTATTAGATTATAATTATTTGAAGTTAATAGAGACTTAATCAAATAATTGAGTTTGATGATAAAATTAATTGAAAAATATATTTCTTGAATACCTTCGGATTAGTTTATCAATAGTACGTTCAACTATGAAAAAATAAAATTTATGTGATTCGAAAGTTTTATATTAGAAAAGCGATTCATAAAATATGTTCATTAGTATACTGAAGAACAAAAGCAAAACAAGAGAATTATTGAATTTTATTCCGAACATCTTAAGCCATACTTAACATAATATTTTAGATTAACATTAACAATGAACAGTTGTACAAACTGATTATTTTCGATATTCACCATTATCAATATTCGAATGACATCAGAAGTAAATTATAAATGTCATATTAGTAAATATATTAATATTAATTATAACAATTTTTCAATATTTAAAATTTATTAAATAAATGTACTGATAGATATTCAGCTTAAATAATAATACACTTAAGAAAATCAATGGATATTATTTTATTTGTATAGTTCTAATTAAAAAATGAATATATGTTGACTTATTACAAGAAAGAATATTAACACGTATACGTATTTGATTGAATATGGAATAAAAATCTAAATCTATTATAGATATGAATATTATTTATCATAGAATAGATTTTTTGTTGAAATTCTTCAACGTATTTTTCATCATTTAATAAATAAAAAGATATTTTATTGAATTATTAACATTTACAATTGATTAATGATCAATTCTTATTGATTTCATATATCGAATTATTTAACGAGAACATATCGTATAGCTTATTCTCTTAAGATCATCATATTCAACTTTAATATTTTTTTTTTCTTCTTTTCTTATTCATATCGATTTATAAGAATTCATTTTTTGGAACATTAATAATCTTATGACATCTAATTTTCATCGAATCATTCTCATCATATCAATATTGGTATGATTTAAATTTTATTGTAAAAAATCACAAATGAATAATAATAATAATATTATAGTTTTATTAAATTCTCACAGATTCGATTTCTATGTTATATTTTACTTTTGAAAATATTTATTAAATTTTTCAAAGATTGTTTTTAGATGATATTCTATAAAGATAGTATTGAACAAATTGTTTGTTGTCTTTTAAAAATATCATTCTGGTTTCAATATAATACATTGATGTATTAATTAGATTTCAATATGATAAAAATAATGATCAGTATATCATATTATTCTTTATTCAATATTGATGATTATTATGATATTTAATCACCGAAAATATTTTTCATTTAAAAATTATAAAAAGTTTATTTAAACAAACATTCAGTTTTCACATATATATAAGATATTATATGAAAGAATTCATTTTAAACTATATAGAATATTTTGAAACATGTTTTAGTTTGGTTAATATGATGAAAAATAATTTTATTATAAATCTATACTGAGATACAGAAAAATAAGTTTGAGAATATCCCTTTATATACAATACTTGTGTTTTTATGATTAAATTTTACTATTGTTAAAATTAAAGCTATTCTATCTTTTTATTTTTGAAAAAAAATTGACAAGCGAATCTAATAATAAATCAATGAACAATAGTCTCTCTCAATACTTTATTAACAGCAACCAGACACATATCTTTTTTTTTATCACGTGCGCTTTCTAACACTACATCTTATCTATTTGTTTATTTCGATGAAAAAGGAATTCAAAGTGAGACATTTGCGAAATTCTTATTTATATCGAAATAATTATTAAAGATCAAAAGTTCGGAAATTCAATTCTTTGAAATACTTTCATTTTCGTAAGTTTGTTTTTTGAAGTAAAACAAAAAATGAACCAGTTACGTGAACAAGAGATTGATATACCATTCATCTGGTAGATAAAGCTGTAGATGAAGATCTACGTTTAATCTTTACTTACATCTAAATCTACATTAAAATATTCTTTCATTGAATAAATATTACAAAAGCTGTTTGGTTTTTTATTGTAAATAAAAATTCAGACAAATTTCAAATTTGACTAGTCGAATATGAACTTTTATTTTTGACTAGTCAGAATTGAAATTTCAGTTTTGACTGAGAATATTTAGACGAAATTGAAATTTCAATTCCGACTAGTCAAACTTGAATTTTGTCTAAAACATCTATAAAAGCAGATAACTAGATGATTCATTTCTTATAGAAATTTGTATTCAACAGCATGGGAATGGCAAAAAACAAAAAACTATGCTTTAAATGTGATGAAGAAAAAATAACATATAATTGTAAAGGATGTTCAAAAGAATTTTGTTTAATGGATTTAACTGGACATCGTCTAATATTAACTAGTGAACTAAATCATATCAACAATGCATATAATGAATTTAAACAAACAATTAATGAACAAAAACAAAATCCACATAATCATTCCTTAATAAATCAAATTAATCAATGGGAAATAGGATCAATTGAGAAAATTCAACAAAAAGCACAAGAATACAGAGAAATTGCTATTAAATCATCAGGAACATATATTAATGATATTGAAATAAAATTCAAAGACTTGAATGAACAAATAAATCAAATGCAAACACAAAATGAATTTAATGAAATTGATTTAAATTATTTAAGAAATCAATTGATAGAAATTACAGAAGAACTAAATAATCCATTAAAGATTTCTATGAAAGATGATTCACAATCATTTATTAATGAAATTTCAATTATTTCATCAAAAAGTAAGTTTTTACCAAATAATTTTTGAATGGATAATTCTCATTTTCTATGAATTTATTTTAAGCAACTATAATACAAAGAAAAATAATGATGAAGAAAAGAAAAAAAATATTGAGAATATTATTGATTCATTTCTAAATGAAATCAATAAGAATAGTATTCATAGAAATAGAAAATTAAATTTATTTGTATGTAAAGAAAGAGAATGATAAGATTTTATTCTATTTGAAATATATTTAATAAGAAATATTTTTCTAAATATTTATATTAAAATTGTAAATTAAAATAAATAATAAAATCAAGCAGATTGTCAGCTTTATATAATAAATAGAATATTAAAAAATAATCTAAATTTTTTTTCTTCGATGAAAAACAAATTTTCCTCTTTTTATAAAAAATGCTTCGTTTTCATCTTTTTCTAGAATCACAATTTAATAAGTGGAAACAAAATGCCATTACTGCGGCTGGTGGAAACAAACAAGGACAACAATTAAATCAATGCAATTACCCGTATGGAATCTTTATTGATAAAAACAAAAATATTTTTATTGCTGATCGTGGGAACCATCGTATTGTTGAATGGAAATATAATGCAAAGATAGGACAAATCATTGCAGGTGGAAACAAAGAAGGAAACCGAATGCATCAATTGAAGTGCCCAACACATGTAATTGTTGATCAACAAAATCATTCGATCATTATTGCTGACCAAGGGAATAGACGAGTGATTCAATGGATGAATCAAAAGCAACAAATTCTCATTCACAATATTCATTGCTCTCGCTTGGCCATGGATAAAAGTGGATTTCTTTATGTTTCTGATAGTGAGAAGAATGAAGTGAGACGATGGAAAATGGGTGAATATAACAACGAAGGAGCTATAGTAGCAGGTGGAAATGGAAAAGGAAATCAACTGAATCAACTTCGTTATCCTACTTTTATTTGTGTTGATGAAGATCAATCTGTTTATGTATCAGATGGTAGCAATCATCGTGTGATGAAATGGAGAAAAGATGCAAAAGAAGGAAGAATTGTGGCTGGAGGAAATGATCAAGGAGGAAATCTTAATCAATTGTGGACACCTGAAGGAGTAGTTGTTGATCATTTCGGTCACATCTATGTGGCAGATTGTTATAATGATCGAGTAATGCGTTGGTATGAAGGAAAAGAAGAAGGTGAAATTGTTGTTGGTGGAAATGGTGAAGGAAATCAAACAAACCAATTGATGCGTCCCCTTGGTTTATCTTTTGATGATGAAGGAAATCTTTATGTTGCTGATGATTGTAATCATCGAATTCAAAAATTTGAAATAATATTGTGAATAAAATGTTTTGTTAAATGAAAGATCAAGAAATAAAAATAAAAGAAATAATTTTATTGAAAATGAATAAAAAAATCAAGTAGAATTTGAAGAAAAGAACGAGAAAAAACTTTTTTAGTTGTTTTTCTTCAAAATTGAATTTATTTGATAATCTCGATTAAAAAAGTTTGAGTAAATGTTAATTGCTTTATCTTTTGCTAATTTTGTTGAATTTTAGAGAAGAAGGAAAATATTTTGTAATTTAAATTGAACTGAAATAAAAATTATTCGGAAAGAAGAATATAGCTATGTTTAAGAAAATAATCAAATGTTCTTAGCTTTTTTCGATTTCATGGAATTTGAGAATTGTTTGAAAACGAAGAGAAAAGAACTGCTTTATGAAAAATTGATAATTAAAATGGAATTGAAATGAATTTTATCGAACAAAGCAAATGTTGAAAAGGTTTATTCTTCAACAAACTAACAAATTTTATTTTTGTTCGAATTTTAACATATTTTTAATAAAAATTGAATTGAACGAACATTTTCGTATAGATAAAAACAAAAAAAAAGAATTACGGAAGAGAAATGAACAAGAGATTGAGATAAAAATGAAAAATAAATAAAACTTTTCTTTGTTCTGATCCTTGAATATCCAATCATTATGTATCGATCCTGCGATATATAGAAAAAGTTTTGGGATATTCGATTAAATTTGATCATATCTTGCTTATTTATTTCGATATAGTTTTTCATCTTGAATAGATTTTCTTTTGTTGAGAAATTTATTTCAGATTTTTAGTTTCATTAATTAACAAAATTAAACTATTGAAAAGTTATTTTATTCACGTTTGATTTATCAATATTATTTCGCTATGAAACATCAAACTTTATTCTTTCATAAAACAGTCAGAAGAACTTGATCGATCAAAACGGTGTTACAGTTTTATCGAAAATTGACGAAAAAGATAATGCTTGAAAGCATAGTAATAGTTCGTTGATTCAAGAAGAAAACACGAGTATTTATACGATGAGCAGTGATTATTTCCATCTCCGAAATACAATATATTCTGAGAAAAAAATCTATATCATATACTTTTATTCATAACTTGAAAATAACACGTTTCGATATAAGTTAAAAGAGTCGAAGAAAAACAAATTATAATAACGAAAAGGAAAAAATATGATACGATCATATACGAAAGAAATTACCACGTGACCATATATGTGATTAATGTAGCGTACGAATAGTTTGTTTGTTCGCTTACAAGTGGTATAGGTAAAATTCTGATTCACATCGAAATAGTTACAAAATATTACACGTTTCATTTAGGTAAGCTAGTTTTTTGAAATAATATAATAAATAGAATATTACATAGTAACTATGTTGCGAATGAGAGTGATAATAATGATAATAGTAGTTATGGGTGCAAATCTGTGTTTAATCTTTACCTACATCAAAAAAATTGTTCGTATTTTTATTTAAAATTGAAACGAGATTAATTTTCAGTTTTAGTTCAACTATCTTACATATCACATCAGTTTTATCATAAGAAAAATTCTTTTTCGATTTTTTCTAGAAATTTATACTCAACAGCGTGCCAATGACAAACAATAAAACACATTGTTTCACATGTAATAAAGATAAAATAACATATCTTTGTGAAGGATGTTTGAAGAACTTTTGTTTAATGGATTTAACCAAACATCGTCAAATATTAAATGAAGAACTACATCGTATTATTACTGATTATAATCAATTTAAACAAACATTTAATGAACAAAAACCGAATCCACATGATCTTTTTTTAATAGATCAAATTAATCAATGGAAAATAGATTCAATTGAGAAAATTCAACAGAAAGCAAAAGATTGCATAGAAATTGTCATTAAATCATCACAAACATTTTTCAATGATATTAAAATGAAATTTAATGATTTAAATAAACAATTAAAACAAATTCACAATGAAAATGAATTTAATGAGATTAATTTAAATTATTTAAGAAATCAATTAATAAAAATTAGAGAAGAATTGAATAATCCACCAAAGACTTCTATTCAACAAGATTCTCATCCATTTATTAATGAAATTTCAATTATTTCATTAAAAAAAAGTAAGTTTTTTAAGAAATAATTTCTAAAAGAAAAGTGATACAAAAATCGAGAATATTATTGATTAAGTTGATAAAATGTGTTCCTACGTGAAAGGAAATAAGTATAGTATATGAATTAATACTAAATTAAGAATCCCTTTAGATATTTTCTATTAAAGTTCTTCAGAAATTAGAAAACATTGAAAATTAATCTTTTCTAGAACCAAAATTCAACAAATGGAAACAAAATGGCATCACTGTGGCTGGTAGAAATAGACAAGGACAAGAATTAAACCAACTCAATCGTCCCCATGGCATCTCTATTGATAAAAAGAAAAATATTTTCATTGCTGATTGGTTGAATCATCGTATTGTTGAATGGAAACAAAATGCAGAAGAAGGACAAATCATTGCAGGTGGAAATAAACAAGAAAATCGAATAAATCATTTGAATTCTCCAACAGATGTGATTGTTGATCAACAAAATCATTCCATTATCATTGCGGATTCTGGAAACAGACGAGTGATTCAATGGATGAATCAAAAGCAACAAATTCTCATTCACAATATTCACTGTCATGGCTTGGCAATGGATAAACATGGATTTCTTTATGTCTCTGATAGTGAGAAGAATGAAGTGAGACGATGGAAAATGGGAGAATACAACAGTGAAGGAATTGTAGTGGCCGGTGGAAATGGCAGAGGAAATCAACTCAATCAATTTAATTCTCCTACTTTTATCTTTGTTGATGAACATCAATCTGTTTATGTATCAGATCAACACAATCATCGTGTGATGAAATGGAGAAAAGATGCTAAAGAAGGAAGAATTGTCGCTGGTGGCAATGGTTATAGAAGAAATCTCAATCAATTATCTAGACCTCAAGGAGTAATTGTTGATCATTTCGGTCACATCTATGTCGCAGATGGTGGAAATCATCGAGTAATGCGTTGGTGTGAAGGAAAAGAAGAAGGTGAAGTTGTTGTTGGTGAAAATGGTTTAGGAAATCGATCAAACCAATTGTATCTTCCCTGTGGTTTATCTTTTGATGATGATGGAAATCTTTATGTTGCTGATTCGGGAAATTATCGAATTCAAAAATTTCAAATAATTCTGTGAATAAAATTTTTTATTAAAGAAAAAAATCGAAAAATAAAATTTCAAGAAAAAGAATATTTTGATTCCTTTTTTCAACATTGACTTTTGCACAAGAAAAGAAAAGAAAATAATGAGGTGTGAGTATCGGTGTTCTCTTTAGATTAACAAAGGACACAGACGTATTTATATCTTCAGTATTCTATACGATCTGAGTAGTCACAGTTATTCGTCTTTTGATATAAAGTACTAATTAACATAACGATAGCAAGCGCATAAGGATCTTTATGAACAATTAATGGAGAAATAAATGTAATTTCTATTCAAGTATCAATAGAATAAAGAGTAAAAAAGGTGTGAGTACCATGTTCGATCCACATCCGTCCTCAAGATATGGACAGTTTTAAAAGATTATATATAGTTGTTGCCTTACTCTTATTTAATTATGAGAAAATGGATTTATTTTCTGGCGAATAATCTTCAAAAACGCCTACTGTTTTATAATATAATCATTTCCTATTAATAATAAAGATATATATAAAAGGTATTTCTCTACTCGACGCCCTTGTGTGTTTTGTCTTAAATTAATTAATATTTTTTTCATATATTCAGTGACGTAGTTTTATATTGACTGGCAAAGACATAATATGCTTATGGTATTACAAAGAATTATTTTGCTTCTAGAGTAGACTATGACAATCTGATGGCAACATAGTGATTACATTTTACACCCGACAACCTCAAATGAAGCTGAATACTGAATTTGGCTTAACTGCCTTGATTTTTGTCATACAAAGGATAGACACACTTTACAAGTAAATTTATCTTTCTTTTAATCGAGTGAACGTAGTGGGTTAAAGATCATTTATAAACTTGCCCTTTGTTATTTATCTGTTTCTTCATATTCTTCGTACTCCGCAGAAGATTTTCTGAGTTTTCAATAGACTGTATCTAGATGTTTATACCATATTTGAATTTAATATTTTGTTTTCCCTATTTATGTAGATATTCATAGAATAGAATGTCGACGATTACTACTCTTATTCTTATCCAAAATGTTATGACTCGTTATTTATTGCCTACGATTCTTGCATTGGGCAATTTAGGAAACTTATTTACGATTGCTATTTATACACAAAAAAATCATCAGAAAAATTCCTGCTCAATCTATCTAATAGGTGTGTCTTGTTTCTCTTTATTGGGTTCTAATTGGGCAATAGCTCCAGCAGTGTATGCACTCGATAACTTCGATATGATAAATAGATCAACAGTATTATGTCGTATCCGTGGTTATATTATACATACTAGTTCAATGTCCTTTCGTTATCTGCTTGTACTTTTATGTGCTGATCGATATGCACTGTGTAATAAGCGTGTTTTCATTCGAGCACTAAGTCGACCACAAATTGCATATCGATCAGTTGCAGTTACCGCAGTATTTTGGAGTGTAGTTTCCATTCATCTACTCATTTGGGAAAGTATTGAAAATGGACGATGTGGTGTATACGGAATTTATGGACAGATATTCAGTTTTTACGTTGTAGTTTTTACTGGCTTTATACCCATTGTTTCAATGATTTCCTTTGGTATATTGCTTGGTAAGAGTCTAAAAAGTTTACATGCACAGATTCAGCCATTGAATAGTTGTCATCGTTTAAATAGACGAGATATTTCTTTAATAAAACTTGTATTAGTTGAAATAATCGTATATATTATCTGTACAGCATTGTATCCACCAATGGCAGTCTATACACAGATAACATCATCTATGGCATCAAGTAAAACAGCAGAACGAAAACAAATTGAAACATTTATCAATTTTATCATAATGTCATTTCTTTTATATTTAAATTACAATACGACATTCTATGTTCATCTTATCACATCCAAATCATTTCGAAATCAAGTTAAAGATTTAATACTGAAGTGTTGTGGAAGATCACCGAGAAACGTACGAAATCATCAGAGTGGATTGAAAACTATGTCTAAAATACCAGGAAGACAACTATTACAGAGAACTACAATTCTTTAAAATCTAAAATTCTAATTTTTATTATATTGGTGTTCATTATATCATTTATTGTTACTTATAATCTCGCTCACTATTATTATTCTTAATGTTACTGTCGTATCCTTTTGTTATCTGTTTGTTTTTGTGTAACTATGTGATCATTATTGTATTAGTAGTCAGCTGAATGATTTTCCAATAAACCCTGTGATGATTTTATCCATCCGATATGATGTCAATGTGCCATAGTGAACTCATAGATATATTAACAAATGCTAATCTGTGTATGATAATACCCCAAAGTTAATTTAGATTTAACTATAAAGATTTTTCTAATGAATATGAGGAAATCAAAAGTTCATTATAAATATCTCCAATATGTTAAGCCATGAAAATTGAATTACAAAAGAAACAAATCTTTTATTTAATCGAATTCGTTTCTTTACTCTTTAGTTTTCTTCAAACTGTTAAATATTATCAATAAAATTTTTATTTCTCAATTAATTAATCTCTGTGAATATTATTCTTATTAATGCTTGAAATATCGTATTATCATCATCATCATCTATAGAATAATCAAGACAAAAAGGGTGTAGATGTGGATTAATCCATGCTTATATCTCCACACACACACACCTTTCATTAAGGCTATGATACAGGTAGTCTTTAGGGCTTGGGTGTGGGTGTATGCGATTGTGAGCTAACGATTCAAACGGTTAATAGGTATTCAAGAACCAGAAAGGATGAAAGCAGTCTGTACAACAGCACAGCAGAAGGGGAAAACGCAGTGGAAGAACACAAACACTATAACACAACAGAATCTGCTTTTGGATTATGTTCAGGTGACCAGTTATAGATTAACTGTCTTTATGTTTACCTCTTGGTGGCTCAACTTAACTAAAGTACATAACAATGAACGAAAATAAACATACCACAAACTACCATATCTCCGACTACGAAATCTATTATATTTATTCATATCTTTAACAACGACAAATAAGTAGTATGATAATGATCCACATTTATTTAAACTTAATCAACCATTTAATGCTAATAATAACATTGTATTACGAGAATAATAAACTTCATTCACAAATCTTCCACAATAATATACAAAATGACATCAGACTTTTAACCAGATGATCTTGCTATTGATAAAATTATACTGAATACTCTCAAATACAGAACAATCAACATAACTAACATCGTCTTTCTATGAGACCAACCAAAATTGAATAGAAACAAATTACAACTAAGGATTTACTTATTCCACAGAAATCTTATTATCATTATTCTAATTTTCCTCTTTATACTGCATTTCCTCACTTCCATTTTCGTTTTATTTTAAGCTTTTCTCTCATACGCACAGCCCTGATGAGGATTTAAATTCAAATAAATAAGACAAAACGCGTCGACGAACTGCAAACTGCATTTATTAATTATTTTACAAGCACATCTTAAAACAAAAAATCAATATTCTGCACACAACTCCATTACTGTAATGCAAAAGTACACACTATTAGATTAAACTTGTTCATTTGCTACAAGATAGACTAATATGTTCGTGATGGGTTTACACCTACATGCCCCTTATAATACTACCCTGTTATTCTGCAGTGCATCACTGAGATGTTGTGCTCCTTCATCTCTGATTTGGTTGTTCCAGAGACTCAGCGTGGTGAGTATCTGTATGAAAGTGGACAAATAGTTATGTGAAATAGATGAAGAGCAAATGAATATTACTTTGTTAATTCGTAGTGCGTCACCAAGATGTTGTGCTCCTTTATCGCCGATGTTGTTCGACGACAGATTCATTGTGATGAGTGTCTATATGAGAGAGGACAAATAGTTATGTGAAATAGGTGAAGAGTGACCGAGTATTACTGTATTATTTCGTAGTGCATCACCGAGATGTTTTGCTCCTTCGTCTCCGATTTCGTTGTTTCGAAGATACAATGTAGTCAGTGTCTATATGAGAAAGTGCAAATAATTGTGTGAAATAGGTGAACATTGAATGAATATTACTTTATTATTTCGCAGTGCATCACTGAGGTGCCTTGCTCCTTCATCGCCGATGTTGTTCGACGACAAATTCATTGTGATGAGTGTCTATATGAGAGAGGACAAATAGTTATGTGAAATAGATGACGAGTGAATGACTATTACTGTATTATTTCGTAGTGCACCACCCAGATATTTTGCTCCTTCAGCTCCGATTTTGTTCCTATCGAGATCCAGCGTGATGAGTGTCTGTATGAGAAAGTACAAATAGTTCTATGAAATAAGTGATGAGTGAATGAATACTAGTGTGTTATTTCATGGTGTATCATATATATGTTGTGGTCCTTCATCTCCGATTTGGTTATAGGAGAGATCCAGTTTGGTGAGTGCCCACATTCAATTTTGGAAATAAATATGACAGAGATTTTAATATGATTTTGTTCTTACCTAGCGTTCTGCGCTGGTATTCTGAGGATGTGGATTTGAAATAATATAGGTTCTATGGGATTTCCTACTTATTGAGACTAGCTGGAAGTTTGGTGTGGTAGAAGATTAACCTTATGACGTCTTTGCCAAGAATACATAGAGGTCCTCATCGTCGTCTCGGAGTGTTATGGTCATAGTCAAAGGATTAAGTGGAGAAAGGAAGGAATGCTAGTCTGTCTCTAACGATTGTTTTATATCGGTAAAAGATATCCTAGGAGACATATATTACAGTCTCTCTTCCTATCCTTCGATTCAATCTTTTGTCACCATCGTCTGTAGAATATGACTAATGCTCTTTGAACATTGGGATGCTTACAAAAGAATGAATGTAGTTTCACTCATAGTTATACCTGCACTTATTCACACCTGTTATGACTTTCATCCGGTATCAACTAACGGGTAAGTGGAAAAAATGAAGTAACATGCGAACGATTATTTGTTCGGGAATCACCTTGAGACTTAAGCCTAATATGAGTAAAGGACATAATATGACTGATAGATTAGTCTATCTCACAATAGGCTAATTACCTACTATTTTATTAGGCTTACAGGTTGTAAGGGTAAAAACAAAACTTGAAGTTTGATGAACATTAGCCGGATATAATAAGAAAAAGCTTTACCTGATATCGATCATACGTGTCAACGATTTGATTGAGTCGCTGACACACATTTCGCATAGAACACAACAAAGTGAAATCACTCTGATGGTCCAGAATTCGATACACAAGCTCTACCGGTAATGTAACCAAACTTGTCATGATTTTGTTTGTCTCCGATAGAAACTGTTGAAATGTATGGTGTGTTGTTGCTTTTATTTCTTCTCTTGAAATGCGTGTTTACTTCACGTGTGTCGTTTTTTTCTTTTGATGATGCAATTACGCATTCGAACAAAGAAAGGTAGATGAAAAAAGCCGACGACAAAATGTCCGTCTTGTACAATTATGACGAAGTAACATCTTGATTGTTTGAAGTTTAGCAATATGATGGTACATGAGAAATGTGAAAATATAATACCCCAGATTACAACTAAGGATTTCCACTTGATTACTAAAAAAGCAATAGTAAGAAACTATGTTCGCACATACTTGTTGTTCTTTTATTAAAAGAATCGTAAAAACATGTATTTCAAAAGAACAAAAAAAATACTTTCTCATTAAATCTATATTTCTAGTCAATATCAACCGAATGAAACACATACTATTTTGTTTATACGTAGATATCAGCAACAACAGGAAAACTATCTTGATGGTGTGGGTGAGAGTAAAAAGAGAAGACATCCGCAACTACAATCATCCACCTTCAATGAAGAGTATGAGTATGCGCGCATGAGCAAAGATATGTTAAATATAGTCATCTTTCATCCACACTTACACCCTCACCTATCAATTTGAATTAGAGATTTTCATCGTGATTGACAATTCATTGCTGCCGGATTGCAAAGAATATTAGATAATTGATCCAAGTTTCCCGACTTTGATTATGTTTGAATAAAACTTTTGCAACTAATTCATAAGACCCATTCATCATTTTCAGAGTTCTGCTTTTGCATATATTGAATTTCGAGTTGAAATCATGCATCTTTTTCATGTCTCTTAGAAAAATATATCATATCGTAATGAACAATTCTGTTTTTTTATATATCTGATACAAAAATACTTATTGCGCATAGAGAAATATAGAACGTGATTAAAAATGACTCCTGAAAAATCAGATTATTTAACAGAGTCAAATAAAAACAAATATCAAACTGATCATGACTTATTCATTGACGTCAATGATTTATTGACGATGATAGTTGATATCTTATTTTCAGTTAAAACACGCCTGATAATTAACACAGATTCTCATCAATTCTTTTTTCTCTTCATCACGTTCTTCTTCCTTACTAAAATATTTTGATTTTCCATAAAATCAAAAAAAAAGGAAAAGGTCATGTCGAATTTAAATTCCATTCCGTGTTTTCGAGTTTGGAAAAGAATGAAATTTAATGAAAACTGTCAAATTAAATGGTCAATTTTGTTTATTAATCCAATCTAAAATTAGTTTTGAGTGTGAGTAAGAAGAACTCTGACATTCGCGCCACACCCACGCTCATCCTCACCCATACTCTCAAGTAAACTCGCATTCTCTTATAAACTCAACACTTACGTTCAAGCAAAAACAGTTTTTTCAACAATAAAATATCAGTGACTTTCCTTGCAAAACTGGAAATTATTAATAAAAATATCATATTGACAAAGACGTGCGTAACAAAGAAAAAGTTAATAAAATAACAAAAGAACATGTGAAGCTGTTTCCTGCTTAGTTTTCTAGCAAACATTCTATTTTTCTCATGTATACAGAGATTTGAAATATATAAGTAACGATCATGATAAAGTTACTCAACACTCTTTCCATCTAAATATTTCTTTCAAATGTATTACGCACGGAGACGAAAGAAGCTGATTCTACCCATCTCGATTTCTTCGCTAAAAAAGAAGTGGAAACGTGAACCGAGATGTCTGACATGGACCAATGTTGCTCTTGGTGCGCTTGTGCCAATGATGATAGGAGTCTCGACAATGATAATCTCTATAGTAAACCAAAACGTGGAAGACAAGCGAAGACACCAAGATCAAGATTTGGCTTATTTGAGAAGACTCCAGGATCAGAAACTAGCTGATGAACTTTATTATCAAGGTGTGCTCAAAACATACATAGAAGATATTTCAAATATTCTGTTCAAATTAAATAGCTCATCTATGGATAATCGAAAGAAATTAAAATATATTCGGTCGAAAACATTAATAGCTTTGGACGAACTGGACTGGACACGTAAGTCAAGAGTGTTTCTTTTTCTCAATGAAACAGGCCTTCTTTCTCCTTCGACATTGAACTCTGGAGACAGTAATGAAACGAATGTATCACTTGATTTATCGGGTGCAAATTTTGTAAACATGTTGATCGAGAGCACATCGCACAAAAAACTTCATTTCAATAATTTACATTTAGCATCAGTTGATCTTACAAACGCCTCATTCATCGAGTGTTATTTCAGCCAAGGTGTTGATTTTAGTGGTTCATTCATGTCTGGCGTAAAATTTAAACGATCTAAGTTTGAATGTAGCAAAGCCTATGCACAAGATAGCAATGTTTTTAATGAAATGCACGTTAAATTCGATCATTCAAATTTGGAAAGAAGTGTTTTCGTTGATTCGTATATGTGTGATGCTAGTTTCTTCCGAGCGAACTTAGTTGATAGTACTTTGAAGGGAATGAGATTTCAAGGTTTAATAGAGTTTCGAAGCGCAAATTTAACCCGGTTCGGTGGATATTCGTCGCTGGCGAATGTGGCTGTGTCAACTCCGTTATCTGTAAATTTCTACAACATCGACTTTCGTACAATTCCATTGGATGTTACATTATCGGCGAAAGAGTATTTTAAGCTAAGCAATATAATTCTTGTCAATGGAGCGTGGGTAGTTAATGATAGTAACTTGCTTCTGAATGGAGATGCTGAGGAAAATGTAAGTTGTTTTTGGTTTACTGTAAAAAACTGTTGTAATCATTGATGATATTATTTGCTCCTTTTCTCTGTTTCTTTTCAAGTGTCTCAGCGCGATAGGCAAGCATGTGTTGATGAACTGGAAGCCGAGTAGGCTACCAGATGGTTTTCCAGTACTTATCAATTCTCCACCGTCAGAAAACATTTCCTTTGGTCATTGTTTATTTAATTTCACAAGTAGCGGTGACAAGGCAGTTGCTATGTATCAAGAGGTTATTGTTGATGATTATACGGTGCTCCTGGTAGATGAGGCGGAATACAAATTTTCAGCGGATCTGCGCTGCGTATCTGGAAGCTTTTTATTAGCAATAGATTTCTACAGCGTAGAGCTTTCATATCTCATGTCCGCAAGTAAGAGGTTTTCATAGAAGCTTCCGGAGTTCTAATCCTATGTTCATGTTTTGTTTTCTTCAGTCTGTTTTTCAGAAACTACTAACACATTGGCTTGGCGCAAATGGATCTGCTATAGACCTATACCAGTGAGGGCACGTTATGTGGATTTTCGTCTTACGCGAAGAGGAGGAAAAGAATGCTTAATGGATAATATAGAATTGCGCATACAGCGAAAAAACCAAACGATAACAAACAACTGAAAAACAACTCGACCTATCTTTTAATGAAACAGACGAGTTGAAAATTATGTTCTCGACTGGAGAATGGGTGATGATTGGGAATGGTATCTTTTCTTCGCTGATTTTCACCTATCCACAGTCACATCTGCTCTCGCATACGTCGTCTTCATACTATTCTGATCTCATACTTGATTGTTCTCTGAACTCTATATCGTGTGATATGGGAACAAAAATATGGAGATAACAATACGAACACGAAGATTATGTATGCTGTGCGTTCTTGAGGGTGGGTGTGGGTATGGGTGTGGGTGTGGGTGTGGGTGTGGGTGTGGGTGTGGGTGTGGGTGTGGGTGTGGGTAGGTGTGGGTGAGAATGTGTTTGAAGAAAAAATGTCTACACCCGCACCCACTCTCCAGAGAAATCTCAAGCATACTCTCGAGATGATGTTCGATATCAAACATCAAAATATTATTTGAAAGTAACAAATTTATAAATATATATGAGATATTTCAAGGTCAAAAGAGAAGAGAAATTTACAAAGATAAATAACAAACCGAATATCGTAATTTATAAAAAAAAAACAAAAAAATTATGTTATGGTTTTCAAAACATAAATTTGTGTAAATTGTTATTAAGGTTTCACTATTCTATATTCATATCCTCTAAAGGGTGTGGGTGAGTATTGTATTCTTCTATTAGCCTGTCCTACAGTCTCCCACACCCTTAGTATTCTCGTTATTTTCATGATTGGTACAATTATTCATGGTTTAGTTCATCGACGTCTTATGGATAATGATGATAATGATGATGAGAAACGTACTATGTGTATTGGTACTTATCCATCTAATCTGCAATTCTATGATACATTCATTCATATATTTCTTTTTTTTTATTCCATTTATCATTAGTATTATCTCAGCTATTCTTATTATTATAATAACTACTCGAAAAAGAGCACAAGTTGAAAATCAACAATCTTGTGGGTGTGGGTATGAGCTTAATAACTAACTTCCACTCACACTTTCAGACACTGTTTTTTTTCTTTTATTATTAATAAAGTGGAATTCTTCATATTTAGAAACGTGAATATTATAAAAATATAGATTAACGTTAAATAAGGATAGATCGAAGAAACTCGAAACTTCATGACCGAATATTTTTGTTTCATCAAGTAAGACTTCTTTGAGTGAAGGACTCATCAAAGTTTGTGTCGCATTACTTGTACCATTTAATCCATCTGAAGAAATACTCACAAAATAGAAACAACAACTATTTGTCATGAAACAGCTCTTATTTTTGCTCACTCAATCTATGCTATAAACCGTTAAAATAAAACAATCATTAATCGAATAAAGTCACTCGTTTTAGCCGTGCCTAAGATACAGCGTCATCTCCTTCGTATATATTATGAGCTAGAAAATCTTGTATTAAATTTTAATTATTATATCTCAAGTGGTTTTCTTTGAGAACAAAGAATATTTTTAGTCTTGTTGGTATAAACGAGCGTTTTTCTATTTATATAAATGGGAACGCTTTTTTTTTAATCTTTTTATTTCTACTTGGGACATTATAAGCAGCACTTTTCTCGCATAGATAATATTAATCACGAACATAATATATTAATAGGCAGTATATATTTCATCATTTTCTTTGCATTATAATCTATTAATAAGGTTTCTTAGTTTATCTTTGTTGTAATTGGTCTGTGAAAACATTATTTCAATGTGCGATGAACAACGGCATAGACTGTAATAGAAATATTTAATTAAAACCTCAGTATAAAATATTTCAGGAAAGAAATTTGAAGTTAGTTGTTTTTAACATAATCTCTTATAATGAATGTTTTTTTCTTTTTTCTTCTAGATAAATCAGTTAAAATGTCGTTAGAAATAGATTACAATTCATCATTAATATCAATACAAACAAATTTATATAAATACGGTGGACCATTTTTGATGATTTTGGGTACTGTAAGTTGCGTACTTAGTTTGATTGTTTTTACAAAAAAGAACCAACGTAAAAATCCATGTGCAATATATTTGGTGGCGTGTAATATTGGTTATCTTCTACAAATTTATACAACAATGCTATTAGCGATCCTATCAAATGGTTACAATATTGATCCTACTTTATATAGTCTGAGTTTCTGTCATTTTCGTTATTATACACTGCTTTTATCTGCTGTTTTAAGTCCATCTTATTTAATATTGGCATCTATTGATCGAATATTAATCACTTCACCAAATGCTCTAACAAGGCAACGAAGTACTTTACGTCTAACTTATATATGCATCATAGGTATAACATTATTTTGGTTATTAGCTCATATGCATACATTATTTCTGACTCGTATTGTGGAACCGGTACCAAATCTTATCATTTGCTCTTTTCAGCCTAGATTCTATATAGCATTCATAAATTATTATACAATATTAATCCAAGACATTCTTATTCCATTATTGATGATTATTTTGGGAGTATGGGCTGTGAGAAATCTTCGAAAAAGGCGTCAGGTCACTTTTGCTACTGTCAACACAGCTATTATTGCTGTACATCCTACTCATTCAAAAGATAGTCAACTTATTCAAATTTTGATTATTGATATTAGTATATATATTATATTCAGTGCAATGATGCCACCTGTTCTTATATACTTACAAATACTTCAAACTCGATCATATAATTTTGCTGAATTTCAATTCGGACTCCTGATTTTGAATATTGCTCTGTTCAGTTCTTATATCCCATTTTGTGTTGGCTTCTATACCAATTTTCTCGTGTCTAAAAAATTTCGATCTGAAGTTAAAAATATTATCAAGTGTCAACATCTTGTTCATAATTATTAACACAAACTACTCGTAATACCAGACTAACTGTTGAATGGTGTACCATTATAAGTTTCTTTGTTTATTGTAATTATGTATCTTGGAACACTGTTGTAAATAACTATTTTTATTTAACAATAAATATTTACATAAGGTAATTAAAAAGTTTTGAGGGTATGAATGTGAATGAGACGCGAGAAGGTGTTATCTTTATATTTCACCCATACCCACATCCACTCATGTTTACAAATCATAATTTTATAATTAACAAACTGACAGTCAGAGTAGAAATAATCGAGTGTAAATTTCAAATCCTACTTTACGAGAATTACGATTATGAAAACCATTTAATAAACCGATTAGAAAACCAATTATAATAGAAGCTGCACTTAATTTAATTACCAGTGAATGATTATTTAATCTTAGTGAAAATACTCACCAAGCTAGTACGACTTGCAAGCGTGAGTACTCGTATGAGTTGTTTCTGTAAGATTATACAGAAATAGAATAAAATTATGTAATAAAAAAAAAATATTAAATAGAGAATAAGAAAGAAATATTTTGGCGACTTATGTTATTTCCATTCTTTTCTAATGAGTCATTCATTTAAATATAGTGAATGGCCGTTTGAAGAATAGAAAGACGACTTGTTCACACTTCTAGATTAAAATACTTTTCTTTTTAGACAAATTATGAAAATAAACGAAACGAACGATAACTACTAACTTTGTCTACAAGTCGGTTAGGATCTGATCTCATCAGATCATATACATAATCTTAAGGACTTTTTGGTTATTTTTTATTTTTATATTTCTTACTGATAATACTCTAATTGTCAATTTAAAGTATGTTTTTTTTCTTAATGATCTGTCTGATATTTTTTAATGATAAATCGTGATTTGATAACTAAATTATTAAAATTTGTGTTTATTGCTGTTGTATTTCCATCAACACGTGTTTTTATTTACTTCTTTTTTGTTTTAAAAACGCGAGATGCCTATTGATATTTTGTATAAAAAATGTAAACATAATGTAACGTGTTCTGTTCCCAGATTTAGTCGCTTAGTAGTTTCTCAGTGTCCAAATGTATATTTTTTATTAACTTTGTATCTAAATAAAATAAATGTATTAGAACGGTACTGAACAGAATATCAAGCTACAAGTAATGTACAGAAATCTAGTAGAGTACTCAAATCTATAACATGAGTACTTGTGGCATTTTCTACGGTGACTGCGACTTGAGTACTCTCTTCACGAGTGCATTCACTAAGGCAGAACTTAGTCAAATCATCAACAAATACTGAAGAACACAAGCTAGATATATGTGCACCACTCTTTTGCGAGTGGAATAGCAATCACCAATGTTGCGTCGACCCGCGTTTCGCAGAGTTAAAACCACGCATTTGGATGTGCACAAGGTAATACCCACATCCTCAAGTTATCAATATTTTTTATTGCACAAATGACATATATCACAAGTCGATCATTTCTTGATTTTCAATGTCATTCTACTGATTTTTTATTACGAATCTGTTTATTCATGGGTAAATGGTTTAATGCATATGTAGCTACAGAAAGAGCATTTAGTGTAATGAAAGGAACAAGTTTTAATAAACAAAAAAGCATAAAAACGGCTAAACATATGATTATGATTTTCATGAACCAATTCATGGACGTCTTTTAAATAATCATGATGAAAAATATATTTGGTGTGTTGTTACTTATCCATCTAATCTACAATTCTATGATACATTCATTCATATATTTCTTTTTTTTAATTCCATTTATCATTAGTATTATCTCAGCTATTCTTATTATCGTAATAACTGCTCGACAAAGAGCACATGTTGAAAATCAACAACCTCATTATCAAAATCTATTACTAAGGTGCAAACAATGCAAAACCGAAGCATAATTGTTTTTTTCGTTTTTTCACACATGCTTTGGTAGAGCTCGTCGAGCTAAATAAGAATATGTTAGTCTTAATATTTTTTCGAAAGGTGTTCAGTGAAAAATTTCGACTTTTTTCTCAAAGTACTGAATGATCCATTTTCTTGAGAAAAAATTTTAAAAAATTCATTTTATAATGTTTTTTCATTTCTTGGAACTTATGAAAACGACATATTCAGATTCCTCGTGAAAATCTGCATCGATCTGACTTATTTTTAACGTTTTTTTTAATATTCCTTAGTGAAAATATGCTTATAAAATGAAGAGATTCAAAAGTGAAAAAAAACGTCAAAAAGTAGTATGTCGTAGAGTTTTTTGTATTTTCAGGTAGAGTTAAGTTTCATATACCATTAGAAACGCCAGATGGTGGGCTTCAAAAGTGTATATTTGATTTTTCGAAATATCACTTTATTAAAAAAAAAATCTCGTTCAACTCTCGTTGAGGACGCCTAAAACATAAAAGTCTTACATGAATACGAGTCTTTCTTCACTAAAATTCGTTCACTCTCCAATACAAATGACAGATTCGAGAGTCTGTTTGAAAAAAAATATCAAAATATGATATTATTTTATCGTACCTCGAATAGGTGAAATCCATATTGGTAGAGTTCCTCGTGAATTTTCTTACTAAATTGATATATCCTGTTAAAAAAGCAATATCAATATCTTTTGTCCAAGGAATAATAGTTTTATTACGCACAACATGTTTCATTTTGAGTTGTACATTGAGGAGAATGAGAACATGTTAGAAAAGCACAGTGACTGATATTATATGGAAGTGAATCGATGGTCTTCACAATCTTTTTTGTTTACTAAGTATAAAAAAATATACAAGAAACTATTGTGAGTGTCTCATTAATAAATGAAGATAATAGTTATTTGCAAAAATCTACTATTTCGATAAACTAATGAACATCTTTACTTAATATCAATCAAGAAACATATGTAAATTGATGGTAAAAAGCATCAAAATGCGAGTCCTTATCTTTCAAGTTCTAAGTATTTTTGTTCTGTTGTGGGATAGTTCAATTACAGACGCTCACGTAAGACTAAATTGTATTGAATGACTACAGATATAATGTTCAGGTACTTTATACTATATATTTGAAATGTGTATCCTATGTTTACTAAAATGAATACAACTTTATATAATCAATAATTTTTCAATTGTAAACTGATTTCTAAATTTTTTACCTTAATTGAAAAATTATCGTGATTATTAACCAGACCATAAACGTTATAATGACAATCCATTTGCTATATCGCATAAACATCATAAGTAGTATGTCTATATATAAAAAATTGGAATATATCAACATAACGATCATAATTTTTTTATTATAAAATGATTATGTAGAAGTTTTTGGTCAATAAATACAACTAACATTGGTAAGATAAAAATTATAACATATATTCTAATTTCTATCTTGTTGTTAGATAGACACTACTATGAATTAAAACGATAAAATATTAGATAATAAAAGAATATATATATAACACATTATAAATCCTCTTATTCCTAATATTTATTTTTCTTTGAATAACATAGCAGCACCATTTCATAAAAAAGGTAAGAAATATAAATGTTTCGTGTATCAACAGCTACTTTTTCTTTCTATATAACGGCAGTAAGATCATACGATTTTTCTCTTTTATCATTCTAAATACATGATATGTTAGTGACGAATTTCTCATATTTACATTGTAAAAATATTACTTGACAGTAGATTCTTGTATGTGATAGATGTTAATTGTTGATATAATGAAGTTATACTATTATGATATGGATAGAATAAAACATTCAAAAACGTTTTAATTATTTATTGAGCAGAGATATATTTTTAGTGCGTTTGAATATACAATTTCGAATTATATTTATTCATATTCATGATAAAAAGATGTACATGTAAATCAAGTCTGTATTTATTCTCATTATTTTTTAGTCTTCATACTATGTTTATTGTTTCATGATATTTTATATAAATTCATAAGAAACAATAGCAACTTTAATTCTTAAAATAAATATTTCTGTTGATTTGTTTTGATTAAAAGTTTTGTATAATTATTCATAAAGAGTAATCAATTAAAAATTTATCTACCATGTGAGTGGATAAAACTCTGATTCTACCCTACTCTCAAATATAAGAAATAAGATAAAATCTTTAGTAAATATAAAATTTCATCATTATAAACTTTAAACTAGTTTATTAAAAGATAAATTTAAAAATGAGATTATCATTAATACAGCGGAACGACTAAATAAATTCTCCTCGACGACATCATTTGCTACATCAATTTGTTTGACTAAATTTTCTTTTTCATAATATTGAATTACTGCTTTAGTTGATCCTTGATAGGTGGCAATTCTAAAATAAAAAACTCACAACAAATATTGATTTTAAAAATTTACCGTTTTTTCAAAGTTTCTTCGTTATCATCAATTCGTCCACTATCTCTACCCCGTTCCATACATCGATGAATACTAGTCTTTAAATATTTATTTAATTATAGAATAAAAATCATAATTAGATTTATTACCTTTTCATCACAATCAAAAAGAAGTGCACATTGAAGGTTAACTCTATCAGACATAGATTTTTTCCATTCGGTAATATTATCTTGATCTCTCGGAAAACCATTAATTAAATCATTTTCTTTACCATTCTTTCTTATTG